ACCCTGGTGATGTCAGGGTAACTTAAGGAAAGATGAGGGCATCTAAGACAGAGGGCCCCAACAGTTGTTTTTATAATCTCTTAAAAGATTATTAATGGAGATATCCTTGGCTTCAGTCTGACTTTTTTTCTTTGGGTATATGTATGTGGGGTGTATGATAGCATATTCATGTGTGCATGCAGAGTGTGTGAGTGTGTGTGTATGTGAAAGAGAGACTAGAAGTTGACATTGATTATTCTCTACCTTACTTTAAAAAAGAATATTTTATTTATTATTTTTATCTTACGTATATGAGTGTATTGCCTGCATGTGTGTATGTACACTGTGTCATGCAATGCCTGTGGAGGTCAGAAGAGGGTGTTGGATTCTCTGGAACTGGAGTTAGGGATGGTTGTCAGCCACCCTGTGGGTACTGGGAACTGAACCTGGGTTCTCTTCAAGAGGAGCCAGTGCTCTTAACCATTGAGACATCTCTCTAGCCCCATGTAGCTTACTTTTTGAGACAGATCCTCTCATTGAACCTGGAGCTCACTGATTGGCTAGACTGACTGGCCAATGAGCTCCAGGGAACCACATGTCTCATTCCCCTCCCCCAGAACACTGTGGGTACTGGAGATCAGAACTCAGGTCCTCATTGTTGTGAAGCAGGTATTTTACCAACTGAGCCATCTTCCCAGTACACCACAGTCTGACTTTCAGAGCTGAGCAAACTGAGGTTTAGAGAAACTGAGAAATCTGAAGTACCACTGACTTGTGGCAGTCATGGAAGGAGACCATTGGGGTCCCATCTCCTACCATATTACTCTTTCTTAGACATTTCAGAAATAACAGATCATCATCAATTTTTCTTGATGTCCATATCTACTGAAACTAAGTGCAGTTTGTAGGATATTAACACATTTTTCATTTATGAAAGTAATATTCTGGTTGCAGTGATGAGGAGGACTTTTTTCTTTTTGAGACAAGGTTTCACTATGTAACTCTAGGTCGTCTGGAACTTGCTGTGAAGATCTACAGACGAGGCTGACCTTGAACTCACAGATATCCACCTACCTCTGCCTCTAGATTGCCAGGATTAAAGGCATGCTCCATCATGCCTGCCATGAGGAAGTCTTTATTAAAACCTCCTCTGTCTTAGTTAACTCTGTTTCAGAACATTGTCCCTTTGGTCAAATGGCTACTAGTCACTCATTAATATCCTTGGAGATAAACGTGCTCCAAACACTAAAGGCAAATATTATAAACTTTGCAATCATTGAAGGACAGGGAAAGCAACACAGGAGCCCAGTGTAGTGCAGAGGTTTTATGAATCACCTTCCTGAACAAATAGGGCATTGCCACAATCTGTATGCATGCGTGTATCTCTCCCTCTCCCTCTCCCTCCCCCTCCCTCCTTTCTCTCTCTTACATACAACTGAAACTGCAAGAGCCAGGTACCATTTTAATAGCATGCTGTTGACAGTCAGAACAACTTAAGAAAAGGTAAGGAAAATCACCCACATTCTGCCCTAGGTGGAAATCTTTTCTACAGGCCTAACTTGGTGATAAAAGTAGGCAAAAAACTTAAGTCTGATAATAATATTTCTTTTCTATGATCAAAAGAGTCAGGATATACTTATTTGGAAAGCAACTTACCAGTGAAATAATGCTGCAAAGCACACTGACTTTCTTTAAAAAATTGATTTTAAAAAAAGGAAGAAATTCAATACAATGTTCAAGAAGTAAACAGACCCTCTTGGCCATGAGCGTTTTATGAACTTACCCAGGCGCACCCACACTCCTTCAACATACCATTTCACAGATGTGATGTATTATTAAGAGGAGGCAGATTCTGCCAGGCACATAATTTGTATATTTAAGGGAGGTGTGAGGAATGAAAAAGCTAAATATGCTAAATTTCAAAGGACTTGGAAGCAATGCTGCCTGTGAGCTTGTGTTACAAATGGCCCTACCTTATTACATAGGCTATTAATGAGGCCAAGTGAATGGAAGTACAATTTGAATATGCATGATTCAATCCAATGAGCAGGACTTTTGTGCACTGATGAGGTTTTTTTCCCCCCCTGAAAAAGGATTAGAATTATTCTTAGAGAAGTATGGCTGCCCTGAAATCAGTAAAATAAATGTATTTGGACCACAGAGTCATACCATGTTCAGAAGAAATACATAGGGGCTAAGGAGTACCTTTGACTCCACCTTCGGTTTCTGAAACATGCATATTCTGTCTTCCCAACAGGCCTACACTAAACCTCAAGCAGCTGTGTCAGTGCAATCTCCAAGCAAAAACAACGATTTTGGTGGTGATCTCTAGAAGTAAGCAAGGTTAAAGAAACCCTCTGAGTACAAAGCCTTCAGTTCCATAGTAAGGAGCACTAGTTAAAAGACTGGGGAATGGGTAAATTATTGCGCCAAATGGCTGAGAATTAATCTCTGCTGACTAGCTGTAATCTAACGAGGCGTCTGTGTCCCAGGGAGCCCACAGCATGTCCCTGGCGGTATGTGCAGTGTGTTGAGTCTGCGTGGCACCCTTTGTCCTCGCTCACAGGCGGCCTTTCCCCTCATTGTCCATAATATCCTCATGCATCTGGGACGCGTGGAATGCATTCATACTAACAGACTTACCATTGTTTTCTCTCAGAAGCTTTGTTGAGCAAAGACTGCATCACGGTTACTGATAATTATATTGCTTAATTAATCAAGACAAAAAAAATTTGCAAATCATTGCTTGGTTGCCAAGCAGGGAGATAAAAAATGACAACAATACAAGCTGAAGCAATATAACAAAAGTAACAGCTATCTGATCAGAAATTCTTATATAATGAAGCTATTAATGCTAAATCGGTTAATGTTAACATTGCTCCAGGTGTCTCTACTCAGATGCAAACAAAAAGGCTAACATTATGGATAGAAAAGGCCAAATGTTGCCATGGATTCTGTAACCTGATAGAGAGGACAGCCTTTTCATTTGATTAGGGAATGCAATTTAAATACCAGGGACCGAAGCCAAACAAACAGACTTTCCCTCCCAAAGCTTCTTGCATTCACCCTGGGGTCAGTGGTTGGTGAACAAAAGGTCAGCCACACTTGCCCTGGAAATGTCTCGATTAATTTTATTACATTGTAATGGTTTGTACTTTAAATGCAGGGATAACACTAAATTTCCAGTTGCCATTTTTCTCTTCTTCCCTTCAGGCTTTTGGAATTAAAATATTAAGAAAATAATTTTCTCAGTTCATCTTGTCAGAACTGATGACTAAGTTTATCAAACTTACTACATGTATTTTGTAGGAAAATGTTAAAAGTATACAAATGACTTTTATGCTACTTTAAAAAAAATAATCACTTTTGACACTACAGAGTAAAAGGAAATGCTTTTACTGTTCTTCATTTACTTCAGAAAAAGGGTGACATTTTTAGGACATTAAATGACATTTTAGAAGACCATCCTGAAAAGGAACTAATAAAGCTGGTTAATCCACACTAAATATTAAAGACACATATTTTCTATTTTTGAAAACTAAAAGGCACTAAATTTATTGGTTTTCTAATATTAAAATTATCAGTTTAATTCTTATAATTAAAGTCATTCTCTTCATGGAGAAATGTAAATGTTAGCACTGAGCCATTTTCTTACAGTACAAAACAGAAAACTTTACATAGACAGAGGCCTGAATCCGTGATGGTACAAATATCTAACTGAATTGGCCTCTACCTATGAACAGAAAAGAGGGCTCCTTCTTTTGCACCACTCAGAATGGAGCTTCCTGAATTGAGAAATTGGCTTCCATGTTAGAGAATTAACATGAATGTTCAACTTGGAACTCATTATTCACTTCATTTCTGTGATAACTATATAAACACTGATAGCAATAATATTAATAATAATAATTGCTAACACAGACGCAGCTTTTACTCTGGTGCCAGGCAATGTCTGAAGTACTTTTTCACTTATTAGCATATTTAATATAGTAAAACACCTTATGTTATAAAACCCCAATTGAAGAAGAAATCTTATGATTTATTATTTAAAGTTTTAAAAACAGCTTTTAGATTGGTACTGCTCAGTTTCTTTATGAAAATGAGCTGTAATGAAAATATATGAAAAACATGTAATTTTTTTTTTCTTAAGGAACAGCTTAAGATGCTTAAATATGTTTAAGAATACTCAATGAATTCAAAATAAATAGGCCATTATACAAAGCAATGTTAAAATATCAGTAAAGGCATGAGAAGGATCGAAGCTGCCACCAATTTAGTGCACAGGACATAGACCATTGGATTGTTCCAGCCATCTCATGATCAATACCAATTGACATGGCTGAATTGATTCTATGGCAAGGTGCTTTGACTGTTAATACTCATCATGTGGACTGTGTTTCAGGGGCCCAGTGTCTTTGTGGACATGTCTAAAATCCTTCAGGATTGACCTCAATTAGCACCACTCAGGGGCTCAGCAAGCAATGCTTATTTATCAGCTGAGACTGGATTCTAAACCCATGGTTACTGTCAAAATGCTAGATGTGAAAAAGGGGTTCCATCAACTCTGACTAATAATGTGCCCCAAACTTAAAATTACAATATTGTAGAAATTACTACATTTTGAGCTGGATGTGGTAGTGCATATCTTTAATCCCAGCACTCAGGAGGCAGAGGCTGAAGGATATCTACAAGTTTGAAGCCAGCCGGGTCTACATAGTGAGTTCTAGGCCAGCCAGAATTATATGGTGAGACTGTGCCTCAAATAAATAATAATAAATAAATATTTTGAAAATTTGACATCATTAAAAAACCCATAAATTCCTTTGACATAATTTTCAAATGATATAATAGAGAATTTTGTGCTAATGGTGAAAAAGTTTTTTAAAAATCCCAAGTTTTATTGAATTTCTATATAGCACACACAATTCAGATATGCATAAAACATTCATCAACTTTTCGATGACAGTGAATCAAACAGAAAATGCTACATGAATCAGGGCAACAATGTGAAGGAACCGTACCTCAGGTTTCTTTGTTATCGCAATAAAGAACATGTGGTTCTTCATTGGGTAAATGATGATGGAAACGTCTCCAAATGCAGTTGGGATAATACCTCGGCGGTAGTCCCTCGAGTGTTCAGACCAGACAATGTGGACTTCATCATTCCCCAGGTGACGGAGCTGCAATGGTAAATTGGCTCTTTATTAATCAAGGTGATAACAGCAGTTTATGAGTGTTTGTAGCTTACAAATTGAATTACAAAACTCTGAGGCAAAAATATTTCGGTTCCAAATCAAACTACAACACTGATGCCTTATGTGAGGATTTCAAAAAGTATAATTTCATAAAAATAGAGCCCATCTGCTATGAAGAATGTTTGGCACTAAGTTCACAACTAAAAGTATCAAGGGCACCATCTAGCTGGATGAGAAGAGACTTCTTCAAGATCTTTTTCACATGAAATTTTACATCAGTCCTATAGTTTATATTGCTGAGCATGCATCTTTCTCAAGAACTAATGACATTCACTTTTTAAGACTATTATTACATTAGTACTTTAAGCTTCTTAATTCAGTGGCTATTAAGAAATAACAATGTAAGAGAACACAAACAATTCTAAACACAACTGTTACATGTGTAAGAAACTGGTCTTGAGATAAATTTTTGGGAAAAAAGAATATGTGAAATATAAGCTGAGTGTGGTGGTGCACACACCTTTAATCCCAGCACTTGGGAGGCAGAGGCAGGCTGATCTCTGTGAGTTCAAGGCCAAGGCCAGCCTACAGAGAGACTCTGTC